TGGAATGTGTTTGGAGATTGTTTACCCACAGGTGATTGTTTCATTGGTTTCTGGTGTGAATTGTTTTGACTTCATTGGCCAATCAGGGCCAAACTGTGTCAGGACTCTGGAGAGAGTAACGAGTTTTCATTATTATCTTTTTAGCCTTCTGTAAGTATCCTTTCTGCATTTTTAGTATAGCTTAATATAGCATTCTTTAATATAATATCATAAAATAACAAATTAGCCTTCTGAGAACATGGAGTCAGATTCATCATTCCTTCCTTTGTCCGAGGGCAGCACAAATACGATATGGAGATAGGTGAGAGCCCAGTGAAGGTATTCTGAAACAGATTATTAAGCTTTATAGACATCTGATCTATTCAAGTTTAAGTATTCTTGTGTTTCTGTGTGCTGCTACTATGTCACTTACACAGCAGTTGTAGCCCAGAGCAAAGCCCTATTATGGTATTAGAGAGCCTATGGAGACAGATGGGATTTGTAAATGGATCTGAAATGGTTCTTCTTGGACATGGAGTGCATTTTCAGGCCTTTAAATTATATATTTTTTTCGTGAGAGAAGTAAAAAAACTGCCATTTAGATGTGCCAAGAGAGCACATCTAAAAAAGAAACTGGAAAGATGCCAGTGTAGCAGACACTGGGTAAATGAGACTCCCTATATGGGAGATATAAGGCAGGCAGCAGATGACATTAAAGGTATTTGTGACTTTCAGAATACTTTCAAAAAGCCATTGCTTCCCTCCTAGCAATGTCTGGATTGGACCTGTTCTATCTTTAAATACAAAATTTGCCCGCAGAAAGGTTTCAAAAGAGAAGTAATTAAAATTAAAACAGCAACCTAAAACAAATATTTCCAAAGAAATACAACCATTTATAGACAGTGTTTGTTGTTATGTTATATTTGTGAGAAGCATATCTTCAAGCTTCCTTAGTGACCTAGGCCACTGCAACAATATTATTCTTCCTAGCCACTCATTGAGAATATAAATGTAGAGTGAGGATTTTAAAGTGGTTAACAGGCAGACTCTTATGCAGAGCTTTTCCCAGTATATGCAGTAAAACATTACTCTTATGTTTATACTCATTACTCAGGTACCTGAAATCTGTTTCCAATCTCTGTCTGTGGCACACCTGTGCTGTGTATTCTGGAGAGTATGTTCTCAACACTTTGGTGTCTCTTAGCTGTTGAGGGATTTTCTGTAGATTGACTTTAAATTTTATTTTACACTAGTTAAACAGATAACGCTCCCAAAATCTTTCAAAGTAACTTAGATCTTTTTTATACTTTAATGATTTACTGGTCTCTGGTTAGTCCTCACCTTCCTACCAGCTTCCTACTGGATCTGTGGTGGTATGAATTCACACAGCATCCAGTAAATGTCAGATCAGCCCCAAATACACAACTAAATCAATATCACTAGTGCTACTGAATTAATTAATTTCTTTATACACATTTTATATGGAAATTTGGTTTATTATTTTACTGCAATGTTGCTCGTTTCCAATTGATCACAGTCTCTTATTTATGTCTTTGACAAAGTTACAGGTTTTCAGCATAAAGAATCCCAAGAAGAAATGGCCTCAAATTGCTCTAGGGGAGATTTAGATTGTGTATCAGGACAAATTTCTTTGCAGAAAGTGCTATCAACCACTGGAACAGATTGCCCAGGGATGTGGCAAAGTCACCATTCCTGGAGGTATCTAGAAAAGGTGTAGGTGTGGCACTTAGGCATAGGGTTTAGTGCTGGACTTGGCTGTGTTAGGTTAACAGTGGACTTGATGTTTTTAAGGTTTTTTCAACCTAAAATGTTCTATTCTATTCCATTTGATTCTATCTTGTTAGTTTGTTTTATCTGATTGTTTGAAGAAAATAAAAGATACTAAAATCTCCACCAAAACTAATATTGGACAAAAACCACTCCTAGAGAAAATGAATTTCCCTTCAAAGGGAATTCAGTGTTTAAGGTGAACTTTCATTAATATAGTGGAACACTCCTGAGGAAAGGGCAGCAGGGTGTAAACCTTTGCCCAGTGACTGATGGATGGCATTCCTCATAACACATTGACTTTCACCTTATCAGGCATTTGTTCAAGAGCAGAAGTCACTTTTTGAGTTACAAGTGGCATCTTACTTTGATGGGGATCTTTTTCCAGAATCTTCAATCAGTGTTTGCTAAAGCCAGCGCATCTTACTTTATAGAGCTTAAAAATACTGCAGGGAAAAATCTGGTGGCTCTTTCACTGCCTTGGGTATTTCTGTAGGTTAACCTGGCTTCCTGCAGAACACAGGTAACTGGCCTTGATCAACACAGAAATTAATCTGACTCAAGATTTTGTGTCACAAAGAGAGGTCTCAGTCTTCAAACTCTTTCTTGAGCCTTTGCTACTGTTTTTAAAGTACCAAACTAACCCTTTCTTGTGACTTCCCAAACCCTTGATCTCAAAGACAGCATTCTCAATGGCATTCTATGGTAAATCTTCACTCAAAATGGATTCCCCATCAGTGCTTGCTCTGGGCAATGAGAAACTGTTTTAAGATGTTTTTATCACTTGACTGCCATGCAAACCTGCTACATCTGTGAGCACAAGAACTTGTGGGCAAAGAAAATTTCATACTTGCCAAAAGGTAAGCATCCCCATCCTTACATACTGTTAACCCCAAGATCTTACTTTACATGCTATTGCCCCTCAGAGATTTTTAATCCCTCCATTCTTCTCAACAAATCCCTTTCTCCTTCCAAACAGCCAACAAAGACTTTGCTGAGAAACCTCCAGTAGAAAATTTACTCAGTATTAGTAAGTCTTGCTACAAGGCAATGTCAGTGGGTCCTTAACAGCGTGCTGGCACCCCACAAAGGGTGGGTGGGTCTAGAAGTCAATCTATAGGTTTATAACTTAAAACACTGCCACTTAATTATGGATTGGACACAGTTTCTTGTCCAAATTCTGAAAGCTGCCCTGAAAAATACCTCCAGGCTCCTGATATTCTTTGAGCTCTTCTGGAGGTGTTCCTTCCTATCTGTCCTAATTTAGGACAGGAATATTTTTTGTTTTCTCTTTTTTTACTTTGATCCTTGCTTTTCATTAACATGTGACTTTCCATACCTTTTTATCTTTTACTTCTTTATCTTTTTCTCTCCCCTTATTTGTTTTCTCAAGATTTTTTCTAAGCCCTTCCCATTTCCCTCTTATTTTTTTCACCATTTCTCTCTCCTACTCCCTCTTGATTTAAATTTCCTCAGCGCCCTTTTCTCCATCTTTTCCCACTTCTATTTGCATCATGATTTCCAACCTGCAAAGAAATGCTATCCTCACAGGCTCTGCAGCACCCTTTGATCACCCTCTAGGCTCTGCAAGTCAGCTGCTCCAGCAGCTCCAGTTAACCCAGAGAGCCCAACGAGCCTGAGAGGGACTCCTGTGGCAGCAGGAACCAGAGCAGGACTAGCCTTGCCCCGAAACGTGAAGCAGAGGGGGTCAGTTTGCCAAAGAGGAGAGACTGGCAAGAAAATATGGTGCCAGCCACATGCTGCCTCATTCATGTTCCCCCAATTAAAGCAGCCTGTAGGGAAAGTAGCATGCCACGGCAGTGCACTGGTGTACTGACCCCTCCAAGTGCTTGTTAGTGCTCACCATACTCAGCATTTCCTCTCCCTGATTGATAGGACGATATGTGTGTGTATGGCAGAGAGCAGATTCATTACAGCACATTAGCCAGACAGGCAGACAAATGCCCACAGGGGCAGAAAAGCCGTAAGGAATAAATAAAAACTTTATTATTTTTCTAAAACTTCTTTTCCCCAGGCTACAGTGAAGAATACTGGAGGAAGGGGAGAGTGGAGGGAGCCCAGAAAAGAAGGGGAGTGGTGAGAACTGGAAAGAAAGTTTATTAGCAGTGAAAGAAAGGCTTAAAATATTCATAGTTGGATTCAGAGTTTGAATCTCTATTTATATTTTTATTTTTGGTCCCACTGCCAACTAAGAAAGAAAGGTTCAGTGCATCAGATACCAAGTTATCAGAACATTCCTGATGTAACACGTCTGAAATGCCTGAAACCCGGCTGCTCCACTTACTGAAATTTACAATTCTTCAGTTTTAAAAATGAAAAACAAACTAGTACCAGCCTTTATCAACAGCTGCCACCATGTGGTATTTAAAATACCACAGTTACTTTCAAATAGAAAGAAATATGGTGGCATCATCTAATCTGTCCAGTGACAGGTTTGTAGCCTCCACTCAGCAGCTCAGAGCTCACAAGAGGTGATGTGGCTGTGAGGCAGCTCTGCAGCCCTGCACACTCTCTGCTAAGGGCTAGGAGCAGATAGCCTGTGCAAAATTGTCCTGGAACCGCAGCCACTGTACCAAACCACTTGTCCATCACCAATCCTTGGAGATGGGGGAGCAGACCACAGTCCAGAACTGCCCCAGGCCGTCCACAACAGTGCATGAAAAATGTATCCCCAAGTGGCTTGTGCCAAAACCTTCTCTGCCAGGCACAGACTTACCAGGCTGCAGCATCATCTCTGCCTCTGTCATGAGATGCTGCCTACACTGACAAGGGGCAAGGAAGCAAAGATGGAGCTGCTGGACTCTGTTCTCACTGCCCACTGGCTGAATCTTAGCCTGTCTGCTGTCTGGAAATACATTGTGATGCTGAAAGAAAGCTCCAGAGACATCCCACTACCCAAGAGGAACATAGAGTGCAAATTGTCAGCCCTGGACCATTAGACAGTTGATCCAAAGAGTAATGATTTAAAGGACATGATTTGAGACAGCACAGGGACAAGATTTAGTTAGTTTGATACCTTGGTATTTGCTAGCTTGAGCCCTATTTTTTTTTTAGAACATTGTAATTCCAGCAGCTTCATCCTCACCTCTTCCCTGATTTCATTTAAGTGCACTCCAAAATGAGCTAAATGTGTTAAAATTAAGAATAGCTTTTGGCAGATAACACAGCATTCTGAAATCTGCTTTGTAAATATCTACTGGTAGTATAGGTACCTCTGAGATTGCTGGAGCTTTGTCTGATGAAAAGTGTGTTCCCATTGGAAAAAATCCATTGAACGCAGGATACTGTGAAACTGGCATATGACACTGTGAATAATGTGCATGGGCTTCTTCTTGAGGGTGCTTGTCTGGCCACTTTTGATCCTGTAGCTTTCCTCTGAGCTGAAACTGTAGTCCAGTAAGTGCCTGCAGCATTGCTTTATTTCTTCCCTTCCCACTATTCGCAGAGCTGAAAAAATCACTATAAAACACACACACAAAATAGAAGCAGCAATTTAATTTCTTCAACAATGTACATCTACTATTAAAAAAATAAAAAAAAACCAAAACAAAGCTTCAATATAAATCCAAATTGATATTATGTTTATTGGGCACCCATAAGAACACAATCCCTAACACAGTACTGGAAAAAAAAGAAAAAAAAAGAAAAAAAGGGAAAAAAAAGATGAGAAGAAACAGTTGGCATTCAGTTAACAATCATGTTTGGAGGTTTGTGACTGACTTTGTTATTCCAAGGGAAGCCAGGTACCAGGCTCTTGGGATTAGGTACAAAGGCAAGAAAAAAGTGGACACGTATGAATCTCAAAGGTGACTGCTGGGTTAATAAAACAGTCTGTTTTCTGTTCACCCACTCTTCCTCTCAGTGTGCAAGTACATTAAAATATGTCAAAAGGAAAACCATTTGCTGGGGAAAAATAATTCAGCTAAAAGTCCAAATTTCCAGCTGGTGTGTTGCCTTAGTGTGTGCAAGTGCGCTAACAAAGTGACCCACACATCTCACTGGATGAAAGTTGGTATCCTCATTAAAGTAGAAACAAACACTTGAAAACAGGAACAACTGCCAGTTAAAAAAAGGACCACAATTGAAATGAGAAACCTTCATTTTTCCCCATTCTGTTTCCTACTTGCTCTATAGCAGATACTATATCTATATATTTAAGTAACTGCTTGAAAAATAATGAAAGAAAAACTGATTTTGTATGCAGTAACCATTCCCATTTGCTGGAGGAATTGCATTGCTAACAACCATCCACATTATCATCGTGTGTTTAGAAGAAGAAATATTTTCACAGTCCAGTTTCTAAACTGCCACATACAACACAACGGTCAGTTCCTGCAAAGAGTCACCCTTTCAGAAGTGAGTAGCTCTGGGGAAGAAAACCTTATATCAGAATTTCTCACACTAGAAAGTGATTGTAGGATCAACCTCCAACCCTATAAAATAAAAGCACGTTTATAGTGGCATATACTGCCTTTGCCCCAGGAAACACAACGAGACTTGAACCCAATCACTAATTCACTACAGTGTGAACATTTCATGTAATATGAACTGCATGAGACATCAGATCTTCCTTGGCCCAGGCCCTGACAGAAAACACTATTAGATAAACAGAAAGCAAAATGAGGGAAGTGATACACCACAGTGTGAGCAGCCTTTTGTTTATTGATGACATGATTTTCCCTGGGGGTGAAAAGAAAAAGAAAAAAGAAATATTCCAAAATCTCTAATTACCTCAGCAGAGTTTATTATGATGAACCACAGAATCCCTTCATGAGTGAGGTTGGAAAGACCTCTGGGGATCATCTAGTCCAACTGCCCCACTCAAAGCAGGATCAGCCACAGTATGTTGCTCAGGGCTGTGTTGAATTTCAAATATCATCAAGGACAGAGATTACACGGCCTCCTCAAGCAACCTATTCCAGTGTTTGATTGTGTATGCACTAAAAAAATAATTTTCTTATGAGGAATTGAAATTTCACCCATTTCAGTTTGTACCTATTGCCTCTTGGCTTATCATTGACCACCACTAAGACCCTAGCTCCACCTTTTTTCCTCCTCATCCAGTAGGTGTTTCCACACAGGAAGGTCGTCCTGAACCTTCTGTTCTCCAGGCTGAACAATGGGAGCTCTCTCATCCTCTCCTAACTCACTAGTTCCAGGCCCTTCAGCATCTTTGTGGCCCCTTGCTGACTCCAGTACATCCCTGTCCCTTTCCTGCTGGGCAGCTCAGAACTGGAGCAGCACTCCAGCTGCAGCCTCTCCAGTGCTGGGAGAAAAAGGATCTCCCTTAATGCAGGTATGCAGTGTGGCTTCTGATGCACCCAAGGAGAGGCTGTTGGACTTTCTTTGAAGGGGTGTGCTATGGGCTCATAGCCCACCAGAGTCTCCAGGACCTTCTCTGCAAAGCTGCTTCCCAGATAGCCACAGAAAGAACAAGGATCTGGCTTTTCCTTTCAGTGCACCTTCAGTTAAGGCTGTGGTGTTACACACATGACAAAAACTACAGCACAGCTTCTCACAGCAGCCTCTTCTAATGGATACAAGCAAGAGGGAAAGCTGAGGAACAGTCTAGCAAACACATCTGTGCTGATAAAAAAATAAAATGAAATAAAGTACTATCTCTCCTAACTGCTGATGTCATTCCTTAGCCACATAGTTCTTCCATGCACAGAAGAATCCATTGTGCCTGCATTATTTCCCAGTTCTACAGGTACTGACAGCATAGTCAGCTCCAGACTAAAGCTCAGCAAAAACTGAAGGTTTTCCATGTGCCCAGAAAGTCACCTTGCTCTTGTGCTGGAGCATCAGGCTGCCTTAACCATGGCACCAGCTGGGGTTGCTTCCCAGCTGTTCGGCAGCGTGAACCATTTTTCTTCCTTACCTCCCTGGCTCTCTCTCCTATTTCGGGAAGACTGCTTCAGTAGTCTCTCCAAAATAGGAGAGAGGGCCAGGGAGGTAAGAAAGAGAAATTTAATACTTGTAAATTTCTGAAATATGAAAAATGAGAAGGTAGCTGTACCTGCCCCATCCTGGTCACCACAGTCTTATCATGCCTGTTTGGTGGTCACACTTGCATACTAAAAGCCTAATCTTGCAGTCCTTTTGCAAACTAAACTCCCCATTGACTGATATGTCTTTGTATTAAAAAAATTACTGGATATGCAGAGCAGCAGTTCTGAACAAAGGAATTTAGTCATTTTTCTTTTAGTTTTCCCTTCCAAAAATGCCCTAAGGCAGTCATCTATTTCAGTCAATGGAAGGCTGAAAATGTTCAATCAAAAAAAAATCTATTTTTGCGCAATAGAAACATAAAAGACATCTAAAAGCTGCAAATATTATTTTTGTACACATTGAGGACCAGATGTCTTCACATTTCATTGACCTTTTTGTTAACTCTTTACTTGCCAACTTTTTGCCTGGAGCTGCTTTTGACAGTGAAGTAATATGTGTTTATTAAGGAATATATACTTATGATCTCATGAGTTACATTATTGGGGAAAGAGGAGGACAGTTACATATAAAAGCATTAAGTATAAAAGACATACAAAAACTTCAAACATTCTTCTATTTATAAAATGTTCATTTATCTGTGTAATTTTGCAATTTAAAAAATAAAAAAAAGTTAAAATAATATTTTGAAACTGAAATCCAACCTAACTTACATGGTCTGCACAATATCTTACAAGTAGCCAAACAAAGTAAATAGTAAATCCTATAAATTTCTACAGTAGTTTCAAATACAATTTGCTTTATTCAAAAGTGATTAAGTAGTACCAGGAATTTTTTTAAAAAATCATGCAAAACCTTTTTCTTTTATTCTTTATAGTTTTGGGCTTTCAAAATTTTCTAGTCCGGCCATCAATTCAAAGAATTCTAATGGAAACAAAAAAAAAAAAAAAAGAAAGTTTTGTTCAAATTAAAACTACATATAAATTATTTCAAAGTAAAAATTATCATAAGAATTTTTCATGAAGGTTAGGTTCAAGTGAAAGGTCAATACATATGGGCTTGTAAATATTCAGATATAATCCATTACAGCCTTAACTCCAATCTGTAGCAATAGCAACCAATAAACATGTATTTATGTTGGTAGCAGTTTAGCCCTTGCCACTCCAGGAAAAATAGGTTGATGTTTAAAAATTGAATATACTTTATGTAATGCAAAGTTTGGCTGCTTTTTATTTTTTTTTATTTTCATTTTCAGTAAAATATAAGATTCAGAAATTCTGAAAAAGAAAAGAAGCATTACACTCTACAAAGGGCACAAGGAAATAAATAGGATGAGTTCAAATACTAAGTGATGAAAATAATGGGCAAGCTGGCTTTCTTGAGAATTGGAAAGATAATTCACTAAAACAGATTTTCAACAATGTGGAAAAGGTATATTGGTGCAATAAAAACAGGAATGAGTACTGGTCAGACAGCTAAATTAAGTTAAAAGGGAAGAGATTTGGAGATTTGGAAAAAATACAAATCCTGATGCATCACATTATCACTCCGACAAAAGCCCTGCTGTAGAACACTAACACCTAAGAATCACACCTAGAATAATCTAATGAGCCATACATACCTTTTTGAGCAGCCTACATCAGAAAGATTAATAAAGTGGAAGGAAATTAAATTAAAGTAAACAGCAAGTATTAATAAGGGACTTATGATCTGACCTATGAAGAAAGCTGAAAGTAATTTCATGATAAATACTTCTAACATATATATGAACATATATAATTCTAGCATATACATGTGCTTTTAACACGTATAATATATATAATAAAATATATAATATATATAATAAAATATATAATATACATATATTTTAAATATATGTTAAAAAAGCCAAGAAAGAAAAAGTATTAGAAGAGCAAAATAAGTTATTCTTGTAATTATGGTGATATTAAGAATATTAAGTAGAATATCCCAACAATTCTTCATAGAAAATATGGAAAAACAGGGATATATTTTTCCTAAGGAAAAAAAAATATATAATCCCCACCACTTGATTTGTTTAAATTGAGACTTGGCAAGACATTAGTGAAGTTATTGTACAGTAGGTCATGATCCTGTATTGGCAGGGGATGGACAAAATGACCTAGCAGGTCCTTTCCTTCTCAATCTTCTTTGATTCTAAAAGGCTCTAAGTCAGATGCTTCCATCATTTGTCTACAAGATCAGCAGAGCTAGAGCTACCACAGGGAGACCAGTAAGGGTGAGGGTGAATGTAGACTGACTAATAAAATATCAGAAGTCCATAAAAGTCAGGAAATTCTTTCTCTTTTATTGTTATAAATACATAAGTATCTTCTTTTCAGGGTTCAGTGTGAATGACTGCACAGAAAACTAAATTTTAAGACATTGAAAAGCAAAATGAAGAGGGATCAGGCTGGAGTAGCAGCAAAGAAAATGTACAGTCTGCTACCATCAACTTTTTGAAAATACAAGTCTCAAAGGTAAGGGAGTAGCAGGATTTCATGCACAAACTTTTTTCCTGATTACCATTCTCATAGAAACAAATTTTTGAATAAAATCCCCTACCAATAATTTCATTGATGCCTAGCTGTGCTATGTCCAATTTTTCTTTGCCATTTAGTAGTATTAGAAAATTATGTTTGAGAAATAACCCAGAACCAAAAAAAGCTATTTCATTTGAGGATATTCAGGAAAAGCTTGCGACTCTGGTGACAATTTGGGTTTGTTGCAATGAAAGCAGGAGGTGGTTACACACGATAGCAACCATGGGTTGTGAAGATCTGTTGTGGCCAGGGTCTGTTGTGAACACAGACTCTGAGCACCATCCCTGGGGTCCCCTGAGGGTTCCCACCTGCACTCTAGGTCAGAAATGTGTTCAGCTGTGCTGGGTGTCAGGCTTACAGCATGTGAATGGGACAGCTAAATATTACTGCTTACACCCCCATGACCATTGTGTGTCACCTTTGCAGAAGTGTCCAGCCTAGTGCACAAGTGTGAAGAGACATAAAGGGCAGCATCAGTAAGTCTCCAGCAATGACACTGAGAAATGGGGCTATCTATGCATGTGGCCCCCCCTATTTTGCCTCCTTCTGAAGCTAAAGAGAAAGCCCTGTGATTTGCTGTCAGCTTCATCTGAGGTCATTATTGCAATCATATGAGGAAACAGAGAAGAGCATCTGAGGGGGGAGAACATGGAAAGAAGCACACAGGATAAAATAACAAAGGCTTTTGTAAGATTACACCTCCCTTTCTTTTTTCTAATGCATAGCAACTAGATATTGTCACCTTTTTATTATTATCTTAATGAGAAATAGCCTATACCCCCTTGTATTGTATTGACACTGTTGGTTTTAACTTTTGGCTGTGTTTTTTGAATATGTGCATGCACACTCATGTAAGCACAAGCATATTTTGTACCTAAACTAAAATGCATCAGAGTCACCATCAATGTACAATTTAATTTTATTAGCTAATATATCCTTGTGGTGTAATTCTGAGAGTGTTTATGTAACAGAAGTCCCATGGCCTTTTGGAAGGGCATGTGCTCTTCAGTTAGCAAGGGGGTTTGAAAATTCCTCTTCAGTGCATCTTCCTGCCTTCAGAATCAAAGGCAGACTCAAGAACACAAGATGTAAAAACCCAATAATTCATTAAATTAATATTTTTACACAATAACAGACATCAGAGACTATAATACAATTAACAGAGAACTTTGAATAATCAGCTCTAGATGCCCTCAGCTGTGACAGCATTTTCCAGTTTGGAAGATGTTCTTTACAGTATTTGTCCCAGAGCCCTTAATATTAATCCATTCACCAGACTACCAAAAAAGGCAGTATTTTCTGGTTTTTGAGCCAAAGACCAATCGATTTCTCATCCTGAAAAACAAACTAAATTGTCTTTATTTTCTTTTCTAAAACAATTCTATTTTCTCTATTTTTTTTAATCAATAGTATATCTGCATAATTTTGCAATAATTTGATTAATTACTCCCTGGTATCCTACAGATTAGCAACAATCCACAGTTCATGACTGCAATACATTGCCTTGCAGTGCTCAAAGTGGAAATTAGAACAGCACATGGCCAATTAGTATGTTCAAATGCTGATTAATACTGTCAATTTTCTTAATGAAAACATTAGGGACTATGAATACTATGTGTAGGCATCTCTTTAAAAATAATGCATTTGCCATAAATCATCAGTCTGGATATTGACATAGAATGCATAGCTTGATTTGCAAAGTTACTTTTCAGCTTTGTTTATGTGCTGAGATTTAGGTTTCCAGCTCACAGAGCCAAAACCAGATGTAATAATTACCAGCACAATGGCAACTGTACTGTGTGAGGGCTTCTGGGAGCAGGTGAGCCCACTGTGCTGAGTGGTTTGGCACTGGGGAAGGGTGTGGGGAATTTAGCTGACTAGAGATTGGAAAAGTACAAGGCCGTGGCTAATTCCAAGTGCTGCACCTGCAAGATAGCGTGTCCTTGGGCCTACCTGGGTATGATAACAAGTGGACAGAGAGACGTGGGAAATAGGGAATGTAGGCCCAAAGGAATGAGGAAGAGTTGATAGTATAGTTTAACCAGTAGATCGCTTAGCTTACAGAATATTCATAAGCTTATTATTTGCTGTATAAGTGTCTGATGCTCTCTTCAATAAACGGAACTTGTTTATCACTCATATTGAGTGTCCGAGTCTCCCCTCACCAACAAATGGCTCATCCCCAACAAAGGCCTCATTCTGCAACAAATGCTGCCCGAACAGGGACCTAAAGGAAGTTTGAACTTGAGAGGCATTCTGCAACAGAAGGGGCTCCTAATGGATGGATGAGAAAAACAAATTTCATCAGCAATCTGGAGTCAAAATGAACAATGTAACTTTGCAATTTAGATTGGGTTGTTTTGTTCCATTTAGATGACCCACTAATCAATACAACTAATTGGGTTCAAAAAAGATAAAATCATGAACATTGATAGTACAGCCTATAAGGATACATGCTTGAAGAACTGTGTACCTCCAGAACAGAAATCAATACTTTTCATCACCAACGTAAAGAAATAAACACAAAATCCTTTGATTGGTACACTTTCTACTGTGAAGACACAAGAATCCTGTCCACCCCAGACAGATGGAAGAGGTAGTCTCTCTGTCACCCCACATTTGTACCACCACACTGTGAAGTTCCTGTCCAAGAGAAGCAGCAGGATCAGTTTATGTTAAATGCCTGGGACTGTATATGGACTAAAGAAGCTGAGGAGGACTCCGTACAGCCCTCTCCATCTTCATGCCCAGAGCTCACCTCACAGGGCACACCACTTTGCTGACAGCCTGCAGACACACTGGGCGTACAGCACAGTGGCACCAGCACAGAGGCAGCTCCTTACAGTCAATAGGCACGACTGTGGTATGCTCCTTTCCACTTCCACCCAGAAACCTCAGCACCCACCTCAGGCTGCTTCCTCACCCAGCTGGGCCTTCTGCAGCCCTTTGGTGTCCCTCCAGTAAGAGCCCTAGTACCTCCTAGGCAATGCAAAGCAATGTTCTCCATGACCTTTGATAGAATGTTTGTCTTTCAGATGAGAGAAGAACAAATTCAATTTCCATGGACCCTCTAATGAAAATACACTCTATCCTGTATGGAATGCAAATTCAGATCAGATATGTTTGACAGTCTCTCCTTATGCAAAGTATATCTAAAACAGTGCTATCAACCCATTGAGTTCAATAATGTACAAAAAGCATGCTATTTCATGAAATAAATTTTAAAAAATCATTGTTTGTGTTTAAGCTTCTTAACTATTAAGGGTTTTTTTGGTATCAGAAGAGCCAAAAGCTTTTATTTTTGAAAGACAGAATGTATGAGACACTATTGTATTCATAAAACTTGAGGGAGTGAAATATTAAAAAAAAAAAAGCACATAACACTAACAAAAATCTCTCCGTTGTATGTACAATCACACTACTTGTTATGGGCTGCATATCAGAAGAATACATCTGGTTGTATTTTTCCTCCATGTATTAAACTTTTTAAGCTAAGCATTTAGGGAGGAAGTGAAGAGAAAGTAACACATTTGATAAATGGGTATATACAGCTGAAAAAAGCTGCCAACACCATGAATAGTTATGGCATGATGTCCCAAGGAGGCTTGCACTCTAACACATTAACTGTGACCTTTCTATAGGAAAAAAATACCAGGTCTTCATGATCTACACCTTGGGCTAGCCTTGCAGCAGCCACCCACACAAATTGAGAGCAAGGCATAATCCTGTCAGCCTTACATTTTCTCTGAGCAGTCTGTAACAATGTGAGCAGCAGACCTGTTACCAGAAGCACAGTTGCTACATATTAAATCCGATGAAGAGCACAAAAATTCCTCCACAAACAGCCTGAACACACAAGTGTTCATAGAGAGTGTGAATACCTGCTGGCCAGTTTTAAGTTCCTGATATTTCTCAACTTTTCAGTAGGAGACTTTCCTACTTTTGTGTTCTTCTCCATCTTCCTGTCCCTGTACCAAGGGGAGTCCTGGAAATGAAGATGAAGCATCTCTTTGATCTTTCTTTTGTGACCTTCAGCTGGCAAAAGATCAGCTGTGCAAAATTTTTTTCTCAGTCTCTGCAAATATATGCTGCAGCAATGCTTAAAGTAATACAAGAGGTTTGTTGCTATAGTTTAATTAATCCCAAGAAATTATATGTAATCTACAACTATTGAATCTAATAATATGATATAATGATGATGTTTATTATCATCATCATGATCTCCATCATCACTATTATGTTTTACATACATAAGACTTTTCTGATCCTCGGTATCCTGCTGGGCAAAGGTAAAGTACCATTTTTACCTCATGATAGCACAATTGTTTTTCCAATAGAAAACTGGAAGAGTTTTTAATGTTGGCCTGGTGTATTTTGTCCATAACTTTACTCTCAGATGTGCTTCCTATACAAAAACCTGCTCACAAAAATTTGCCTGGGGCTGGGTCCAGGAAAGAGAACATTCAGAGCTCACTTCTCAGGACAATTGATCTCTCATAATTCCCTTTCAATCTATGATGTTGTAAAATTATATATGCAGTCGTGCAGCTTCCTCACTAAATAGTTACAATAGCTGCAAAAACTGTTTAACCTGGGCAAGATTATAAATTATCATTTTGTAACTACAGAAAGCTGCTTTAAAGGAAGAAAACCTGATAGTTTTGCCTTCTCCCTGTTTCACAGGGTTTATTTTTTCCTTCTCAGCTCCAGAAGACTCCTGGAATATGAATAGAAATGCCTATCTCCATGGAGCTGAAAGGACTTAGGGACTGTGGACTCCACACATAATTTCTTATCACTCGTATTCAAAAGAAGGGTTTACATGCAAAGAAAACATTCCAGTTTTAAAACTAGAATATGTGTCTGCAAGTCTGAGAGAAAGAGAAACAGAAAAGTGTCTGAAACTTTTTTTCTAATGTAAGTTGGAAAATTATCTTGCAGTAGATTGGAAAGAAATGTAGGCAAACGTCACTTGACTTCTCAGACTGGGTACTTGATATGATACATGCATGGTGGAACTTCTCTCAACTCATCAGCAGTCATGAACTGAAGCCCAAAGTGCTAGAGAAAAGCATCAAAGCTTCTGCCCATCCATTGTTATAATATTTAAATGAATCTTGAGTCCTAAGATTAGGATTTTAAATCTCCTTGATTAGGCTTTAATAAATGCCACCACAGATGCATAGTTACTACATTTAAGCTACCAATTTGAGTAAGGAATTGGCAGCATAAGGTTAATAACACAAGTTATGACAAACTTGTGCATTCCTTTTTGTGTCAGTATTTGCCTTCCCTCTGGATCTTTCTCTTCTCACTTATTCTCCCTGAGTAATATTTTTCTGTGCTGGACTTGCAGGGAAAACAGGCCAATACTTTATACTCAGACTGCTCCCTTCTTGTTCTTCTTCTGGGATACAGTTTCTTTTCTCATGACTGCCACAAAATGGGAGTTTGGCCTCCTAAATTACTGGATCTCAATGATAAGGCCATTTACCTTCACATATCAGGGCTCCTCCAAGCAAAATGCTGCCCTTGCCTCACTCTACTGTGTCTGTCTATTAGGTTGCTTCTGTGAAATTTCTGAAAGATTTTCTCCTCTCCTCTTTCACCTTTCAGTCTTTGAGCATGAACCTGCAGGGCTGCATGGAAGGAATGCACAGAGGGCCACAAGAATTACTCTCAAGGGAAGACTAAATGTCATCCCAACCATTCTCTGCTGACAGAACCAGAAATCAGTGCTCCTGGCTTTGCACTCTAGAAGTCTTGGACCTAATTAAGTGATTGATTACATATACACTGTTGTCATACAAATAAACATCTGGGTTAAAACATATATATATATATATATATATATAAATAACACTTATAACACTGCTGGAAGAAAGATCAGTTACTGAGTTCTTGAGGATTATTCTGTGTTAATTACAGCTGCTACCTTTTTCAGAATCCAATGACTTAGGATCCCCCCTGTTCAACTGTCTCAAGGTACCCATACTAATGTGTTTTTCATGTAAACACATTTATAAATGGCCTTTCCCATTTAAGTACAAAGAATTTCCTTCTAAGAAGGTTGCAACCTGTGACACATGACAGCTCTTTAAAGATAAAAGCAGAACTGTGCAATAGGTTATGGAGTGAGAAACCCCATGGATGTGCTGAACCTAACAAATTCATCTGGAATTCAGTTAGGGTATAGTTCAGCATTCCTCATCCTGCTAAAAGCACCATGGCATGTGTGGGGACTGCAATGAAACCCAGTGTTAGGGGTTTTGTCATTCAAACAATGACTCAGCAATGTAAAATATCTCCCAGCTCCCTATGGCAACAGTGGTACGCTATTACATAATCAGCTAATTGTTTTATTAAATATTTCCACAGCAGTGCACAGCACCTAGACCGTCCCTCTGCATGCCTCACACTCATTAAAATCTTTCTCAGGTCCTGACAAGAACACAAGGCATGCACAGCCCAGTAATGCAGTGCACAATGATGCCTAGATGAATACATCTTCCTGCCAAGGACCCATCAGGTGGAGCTCACTAGAATGCTCTGTTTTCACTGAATTAACATTATAAGGAAAAACCAACAAGATGTACTGTATTTAACCCAGCAATATTAACACATGGGTGCAGCTACTTCAGTACCAACAGACATTTCCTTCAGTACCAGTAGACTCTCAGAGTGGCTTCTTAATAGAATATTCTGTGTTAAAACCCCATGTTCTAAAATAGAAAAGTCCTGAGGAACCTTTTCTGTTTTATAAGGATTGACCTCTCTTTTTCAAGATCTGCTGTAGCACCTTGCCCAAAATAGCACATAGGTCCACTTCAAAAATATTGCAGACTTTTGTTTACTAAAAATGTTCACACTGAGAACTAAAACAAGATGAAATAAAGTTGCAAAAATAATTTTGATAGAAAAATCAATTCCTTTTCTGTACAATTGATGCTTGATAAATATTCAGAATAGTGACATAAATATATGAATTTTACAAAATATTACTAAAACTTTTAAACAATATGTTTATGTAAGCAAATAAAATATTTTTGAAGATGCTCAAATCAAACCCCAGTTCCTACATTTTTATTAAAATTATAAAATATATGCATGAAAGCCATAAACTTATCAATAGTCACTAACAGAACTACAAATAAATACTCAACTAATGTCACATAATGTTATACACATATACCATGACGCTTTTATAATTTTGCAGATATTTTAGTTTATGGATCATCCCATTTTGAAGATATATATTTGCCATTTAATGAAGAACATCACTCTATGTAAACAAAAAAAAAAAATAGAATACTTGTTTTGTATGTTGTTGTGTGTTTTGTTTGTTTTCTTTACTGACACACCATATTAACAGAGGACTGGTAGTTTAAGTTCTGATTATAGAAAAAAAAGATATACAGAAATGTCAGAGATACATATTTTCCTAGATTATACCTCTTTATTTTACAACTCTCTCTAAATGTCGGGGTTTTTTTCAAAACTTACATTTTTATGTCACAAGAAGACACTAGATATCTGCTGCAGTCATTGCAGTTAATAACAGGATTAGATGGCATTCAGTTTAGGAACATTCAGTAGTCCTGTTTTATGACAGTTATATGAAAGTTTCCAAGAGCTGCCCACATTTGCTGTCAAAGAACTCTACAAAACTTTTGCTTTACTCAGAGAATCATTGATACTCTAATTATAAAAGCATACTTACTAGTCAAACTGCTGCAGGATTTCTGCATCACAGCTTATTCACTGAATCAAAGAGTCTTTTCTCCTATCATGTTGATCTGTAAAACTTGCACTTGTTATTATTGCTCTAGATGTAGTTTGGGATAATTGAAAGCAGAATTCAGAAATTCAGAATTTCCTTTCCCCTCCCCTCTCTTTCTAAACATTTATTTTTCAATGCTTTGCTTACAGTCCTGTAACAAATACTGCTACCATGCTGGTTAAAGTCTCTATGCATAACAGCTAATTGGCTATCCAAGACATCTTCTTTCAATGAGCAGTGGTTATTGAATAGAATACAGTGGTATTCTTGGAAAGGGAAAAAAAAAAGACAAGAATAATGGGCACTAGAATGACCATACAAAAAGAGGAGAAACTCAGATTAGCCCAAACTCCCAGGCCCTAATCACTGACAG